CAGCCTTTGGTATAAAGGGTGATTTCTTGGAGGATATTGAGGGTGAAGGCTGGTTTGGCAAGTGGCAGACCAGGGTGGTGCAATCCATGGATGTATTGCTGCAGAACTTCAAGACTACGGAGAACGCTGTTGACGTCCAACTCCTACTGATCATGGACGGTAGCAGCAAGAACTGCGAAAAGGAGAGAGCGAAGATCCACGATCTGAAGGAAGTGCTTCGCCATCATTACAGGAATGCGGCCTTTGCTTTTGAAGTGCATCACCTGGCGCTGTACATCGCAGACTTGAAGGAGGAGCTTAGCACCAAGGCTGGCAAATTCAGCTGGGTGATGTTGGGTGTGTTGTGATCTCAGTCAGACGACGCGGAGATGAAATGCCAAGAGGGAGACAGGAGTTGATAGTACCGACCAAGAGCAAGTCCAATGCTTCCAGAGAATCTTGTGTTGTCTTTGCATAGCTCTGATTTACTTGATTGCCTGATCATGCCATCATGTCGGTGCTCAGGCAAGGAGCCCTCCGAGGACAGACGCTACAGTATGGAGCTTTGCTGATGTCCTAAGCCCCTGTCGCAGTCCTTGTCGTTGAGAGCCAGATCAGGCTTTCATGACCGATTGAATGTGGGCCGTCACCAGACCTGCTGTAAACTTCACTTGGGTTGGTTCTGTGTAGGTTCATGCGAGGGCTGAGCCAAGAAGCGTGAAGGCCAGCCAGGCTGCTTCGCGCCCACCAGGCCCACCACCCTGCCAGGAGAGCGCGAAGTCGCCTACCAGAAATTCCTTGCCACCGGCATCAAGGAGGGCCTGCATGCCCGTGCCTGGTCCTTCCACCTGAAGTCCCTTGCCTTGGAGGACCGGGGCTCCACATGACATGGTTGGTAGGGCCCTGCTTTTGCATCATTGCGTCGTGTCTTCTGCCTATAGAGTTGGCTTTGAAGGTGCGACCGTCGGCGGAGTCGGCGCAGCTCTTGCTCGACCGCGGAGCCATCGTTGAATCTGCACTGGCCGGGACACGAGATGAACGGCTGCGAGCTTGCGATAAACCATTCGATGAATCGTTTGTGCAGAGGGTGGACTGGCTCGTTTCCTGCAGTGCCGTGTCGAAACAAGTTGGGCCCATCATCAATCGTTGGAAGATCCCCGTCAGGTTCGACCCGCAGAGCCCGCTTGTTGCTTGGGCGGTGGATCAGCGCGTGGATCTGGAATCGGAGGATGAGCTCGCGAGATGTCTACCGGAGATCGCCGAGCAGAAAGGGCAAGAGATCGGCTTGACAGAATGGAACCAGGACGGCAAGACCCGCCTGGCAATCTTCAAGCGGTGGTACCGCGTGCCCGACATCGCAGATGCATCTCAGAGGGAGCGAGAGCTGCAGTGGATTTCAACGGAGGCCAACAAGGCCGGGTTGTCCTTCGACCTGCTCGAGAAAATTCAGAAGCAGCAGGACGCTGTGTGCATCGGTGTGGCATTTGTTGTTGGTTGGTGCTTGTTCAACTCAGCTCTTACCTGCAAAGGGATCGCCGTCGCCACGAAGAAAACGATTCCTATCGAGCCAGCAACTGAAACGCTTCAAAGAGCTTGGCTCGTCGACGAGTAGGTTTCCCTGGCATCGTTGCCGAAGCCATGTCAATGTCGAGCTGTGAAACAGAGGAATCGGGAATGCTGCTGCGAGATGCAAACCACTGAGGAAAGACAAGACGGAGTTCAGACGGTCTTGAGAAGTATCTTGCGTAACAAGCCGCGAAGAATCCAACAACTGACTCTCAGACAAGGTCAGCTAACGAACTGGCCTTCTTGTCATTTGCTTCTCTGCTCGTACCCCGAACCTGTCTCGATCCTTTTCATCCCCGCACCTACGATGCAGGACGGCTGGAGGGACGGCAACGTTGAGGAGGCCGGTCGGGCCGGGAGCAAGTTCCAGCACTTGGCCCAGGGATGGTCGCACACCAACATCGTTGTTCTAGGGCTCCGGGTTACATCGTTGTTTTTAGGGCTGTCACTGTGCCGCCAGGAATCGCGCCCCGAGGAGATGATCTACTTGTTGCCGAAGGGTCGACCTGCCCGTGGCCTCCCGACGAAAGTCAGCTTCCCGGGGCGCATCGTTCCTGGGGCGACGACTTGCTGGATCTCTTTCCCTGCGAAGTATGCAGCCTGCTGGGATATGTTGACCTGCGAGTCGCCACAAGATTCCGTGGCCTGCATCTTCCAAGCCGACGAGGACAGTGGTCCTGGCCTCGGATGCCATGCGGATTGTTGTCCCAAGCCTTTGTCGGCACAGGAGTTTTGCAGATATCGCCAGATCTAGGTTAGCACATCTATAGCCCACAAAAAGTCGATTGAGGCAAAGGGCCCCAGAAACATGTCCGCTGAGATTGATTCAGGTCAAAGCTGAATGCTCAAATAGCTGAAATCGCACTGTGAGCCTGCATCCAAACTCTTGCGGAGAGCAGTGTTGTCTCAACATCGCTGAGCTTTCATCTGCTGAGTCTCTCAACTCGTTCCTTTCTTTCTTGCTGCGGCCTACCGTGTTGCTTTCC